ATGGGAAATGGGTTAAGGGGTTGAATAATGATCATAACAATTTTGAAAATGATGACAATTTTTTGGTCTTCTAATTTAATTTGTTTTTTTCAGTTTTTTTTTTTTGAAATTTTTCATTAACTAATTTTTTTGGGTTTTTTACATTTTTGGGTATAACCAAACAGTCCCAGGATTATGTCTGGTTAGAAACCCTAACAAACAATTTATTGGGCCTGACCCAGAATATCACATGAAACCCTAAAAAAATCTAGTTCCTTAGGTTAGCCGCCGGCCAAACTTTCATCGCCGCCGCCCCCATCGTCGAGCCGAACTCCGATGACCACATAAGTCATCGCCTTAGGTGGAAGACTGAAACCTGCAAAAGACGACCTCAATTGTCGACGTAGGAGATATGCGAACATAGACATATTGTCCCCTCAGATCTGTTGCCAGAACACGTCGAGCCTAACACCAATCTAAGGCTCCGGGAAACATCTCTGTCAACACAAACCCTTCCAACTGAAGCCGCTCCTACAACTCTCGCCTCCACCGACGCAGTGGACATGATGAACTGGTGAAGTGGAACAGATCCTCCACCGAACCCGAAGCAACCAATAGACCAAAACCAAGCAAAGAAGCCGAAGAACGGCCGGAGAACAAAGCCGAGAAGAAGCATCACCTACATCAAAGGAGCAAACCACCGGATGAGGGAGAATCGGACCATAGCAAGTAGATCTGGCCGGGAAAACGCAACCGCGAGGGAGGGTGCGTCAACCCCTAACAGATCCACCTCTTGGGAGAGACATCCGACAGATCCACCTCCATGGCCCAGTCATTGCCGTGTCGCTCTGCCGAATTCAGATCCACCACCACACGAGTCTCTAAACCAACCTCGCCGTCAGACTAAGAGCGAGGCCATCAGCAACAACAAACAAGCGAAGTTCGACACAAACGCATCCCGTCGATGAGGATCCGAGAGGAGGACCTCCACCAGAAGCTACCACCTAGACACCGTGAGGCCACGCCGGAGTCAAAAACCAACATCTCCGTCGTGAGGCCAGCAAGGCCACAACCAAATCATCTCTTAGGGAATCGTCACCACATATGAAGAGCCTTATGGTACAAAAGGGATGGAGCGAATCCTCTCGCGACGCCGATAAGCGCCAGACGTCGGAGAGGCAGTCGGAAAAAGTTAGGTGGTGGAGCGAATAAAACGAGGTTTTCTAGTGAGAAGGGAGAGAAAGTTTCTCTCTCTACCTCCCCCAATAGATTTTGTGATTTTTTTTTCAACACTGAGAAGAAGGTTTAAGGTTGTTACGTGTCAATTAGTATACGAAAATAGTGAAAACAAAATTTTGATTTCTTGGTAAGTCATTTCATTGATAATTATTATATACTTCTTATTATTCGAATTCAATCTTGAACGTATAATAATACATGGATTTTGTAATCAGATTATCATACATATATGATTAGAATATGGTTATTTTATTCTAAGAAAACAACTAATATCGTCCAATTTACCATTTTGCAAACTTTATCGATTAGATATCTTGACGTTATCCAATTGAGTCAGATAGAAATTTGAATTTTCTTAGCCACTTTCGGTGATGTTTTGTAAAAAGGGAAATCATATGATATAGCACCTAACAATAGCAAAATTAGAGAAAGAGAGATTTTTTTCTCTCGCTTCGACCTAGCCCCCAGCCCGTCACCCTAGCCGCCTCCGTTCAGATCTGGTTGTGCCTCTCTAGTGTTCGGCTTGCCGGTGCTGCGAGAGGCTTCGCCTCCGGCCTTTTGTATCCTACGGCTCTTCATTCGTGGTGAAGTAGCCCTGTCGATTAGATCTATGTCGCCTCCATGTCCCTATTCTTTCGCCGGCGAGTCACGGCACCTCTATGCTCCAATCTCGTGGTGGCTCTGTGGTGGTGTCTTGTGGGGGCTTTCTCGATGGGTTTGAGCGCGAGATCCATCAAGGTTTTCTCTTTATCTTGAGATCTCATGGTGGTTTATTAGGGTTGGTTCTCCGGAGAGGTCCATCC